AAAACTGAAAGTCCTACAGGTGCACGTGGTGTTGTCCTGAGGATGGCAGGAAATCTCTATACATGTAACCAGGGGTCCTGAACCTCCTGAGGTCTGCTGTGACAGTACAGGGCTGGCCTGAGCTTGTAATGCTGGGAAGGTCAGGCAGGTGGAAAGATGTCAGCGTTCAAACCATGTAAGGTAACATGGGACAAGGCAACCTGCGTTCCTGAAGAGGAAATGAAAGAACGAATAAAGGCAGCCCTTAAGACCTCTTCTGTAGCTTTTTGAAAGAATTAGCCTTCAGCATGTGTGCAGGTTGAAGGCCAAAGCAAAGCTGTGAAGGTTTGAAAACATTCACTCCTGCTGCTGGAGCTGTGCAATCAAGGTAACAGTACCCAGCTGTTCACTGATTCCTATCTCATGCTCTTCAAATGAATAACAAGTAGGATATATCTGTAGGCCTTTGGGGGTCTAAGACTGCTATCCAGGTGGTGTAAAAAATACAGATGTGACATGTTTAGGCTGTGCAGTGTTAGGAACCCATGCTCAAGGTGTAATTAAAGCAGTTAGCCAGGAGGGAGCTGTGTGAGCCAGTCTAAGGGCATGTGCAGGGAGCTGTAGGAGTGCAGCTGGGGTTCAAGTCGCCGGGGTCTGTGCGTGCTGGCGGGTTGCAGGAGCCGGGTGTTACATCTGCTATCTGCCACCCTTCCCTGAAAGGTGGAGGAAAACAAACCGTTAGGGAATAATCCAGAAAAAGTCCATGTGGGGGCTTGGGAGAGGTGCAAGGAGGCACATCTGGTACTTACTGCAGGAAACCTTGATGGCCCTCGCTGTTGCAGTAGCTGAATATGCCGAATGCTTCACCACGTTCAGCAAAACATCTCCGAGCAGGGCTTTTATCTGGCTTAGTTTCCCCTCTGTAACACGGAGAAGAGGAGACTGAGCTCATCCAAGCTGTGGGCGGCCTGTGGGTTGGCAGTGTGACGGATTTGGAAATCTCCTCTGCAGACAAATGGTCTGACTCCCAGAAAAACAACATCAGCCAGCCCGGGCCTTATCTGCCGGCGAGGACTAGCGCGGCTGCGCTGCGTCCAGAGAAAGTGAGCTGCGTGAGCGTGCCCGGGGCGGCTGAGGTGAAGGGATGAGGTGTGCAAACACCGCCGAGACATTTTCCACCTCGCTCTCGCTTGTGGGCCAAATGCAAATATCCGTGTTGTTCGGCAGGTGGGACAGGCTGCCCTGCGGAGCGGGCTGGCCTTCCCTCTGTGCCGTGAATCACCACAGGCCTCCTCCTGGACGCTGGCCTTTGTCCAGCCGCCCTCCTGCAGCAGACACCGAGCTCCTGAGCTTTGCCCAAGGAGGAAGGCGCGCGTCATTGCTCAGATAAGATAAACTGTGCCCAAATAACTCCTTGTTACCCTTGGCAGGCGCGGCTAACCACCGGCCGGGGCTCGCGCAGCCCTGAGGAACCGCCAGGCCTCGCCTCCAGGCAGCGTGGAGGCTTGACGCCAGAGCCCAGGAGGCAAGGTGGGTGTGACAGTGGTGTGGTTGTGCCCCCAGGGATGGCGACAGCAAGGGCTGAGGGCTGTGAGTGAGGGAACAGCCACCCGGGGGCTCTGCAGGCAGAAGGACCTCTGCTGTGTGCTGCTGTGCTGTGAGCAGTGGGCCTGCAGAGCTCAGGGTGCTCTGCACAGGGCTGTCCCGTGGGAACTCGGGAAAGAATTTGGATTTATTGGAGGGAAAAAGGGCAAACGCTGATGCCCCTGCAAATGCGTGATGCTTCTTTGCTACTGTGCGTGAGAGCTTCCTTCCCTCCTCCTCCCCCTCTTTGCCTCTTACAGGAGTTTGCAAGGTTTCTCTTCCACCCTCCTCCCCTCCCTCTCAAACTGGCATTTATACACAGCGCCAGAGGAATAATCCCCTGCTCCACACAGATGCACAAAACGCTTTGATTTAATGCGTTTCCTATGGCACAAAAAAGTCTTTTGCTTCCAATGCAAATCGGGTTGCTCGCTCTAAGCCGCTAAATGCAAATGCGCCACTTGTAGTTATTGGCTCTGGGAAGAGCGGTGTGGGCTTTATGTAAAACATAAAGATAAGATGTCAGGAGCTCATCAGCAAGCGCAGCAACACGGATTTGTGCTGGAGAGAGGTCAACGTGGCAGCGGTTCGTTCACAATGATCCCATAAATAGCTCTTGCCAACTTAGGGTTGGTGTATCATTATCTGCTGTGATGTGTGGCAACTGCTCTGGGCCTCTTCTCCTGTACGGGGGATCCTTGGTCTTAAAGGACGGATCCGCATGGAGGGAAGTGAACAAGCCTCTCCTATTACACTTAACTCAATCCTGCTTTCAACACGATTCCTTTAGCTGGTTTAAATTGCAGACAGCTAATCCAGCATCACCTGCACAAGGGGAGAGAGAAACTGCACTGGGCAAACAGCTGCTGCAGGAGGAGGGCTCTGCCTTGGGAGAACACGGCGTCAGCTAAGAGGATTCACTGAATGATATTAATAAGGAAAAAAACATTTCTCTGTTTTGTTGGTCCCCTTCTTTCTGCCTTCCTGCAGTGATGCTGCTTGCCTCCTGTTTTTGAACTTGTGAGGTGGGATGCTAGGCAGGGGGATGTTTCAAGCTGTTGGTGTCAAACAAGTTGGTGTTTGTAGAAATGGATTAACACGTCCTAGCCATGGGTACATTGGGGGTTGGCTGGTTATTCTCTCCCCTCTCTCCTTGTGCAGGGTCCCCCATCCAGGTGCAGGATCAGTGCAGGCTGCGGTTTGGTGACTCACCCTGCTCTGACGCCTGGGTCTCTCTTCTTTCTTCAGGCTGGGCGAGTAACCCGCAGTCTGTAATTGTGCTCGAGAGCCCTTGCATTGCCCTAGCTATGGGGAGGCTGCTACGATGCTTAGATTGGCTTAATCCAATCCGAACAATGGACGTGTGGTGGGGTGGTATTCAAGTGTCTTTAGGAAATGAGAAACCTTCCTGGCAGCAGTGGATGAAGGCTTTTTCTTTTCAGCACGTACAACTGAATGCACAGGACGTGCAGTATGGTTGAATTAGCATCACTATGGGAACCATAACTTTTGTGTTCCCTGACCTTTACCTGTATAATGCTAAAGATTTGTTAACGTGGCTCCAAGATGCTTTTTTTTCTGTTGTTGTTGTTTAATAAGCTTTTTGTCGCGGTCAGTACTAGAAGCGGCTTTATAAAGGACTCCAGGAGGAGATTAGAGAGGAGGCAGGCCCCGAGGTGCCTCCTTGGTGCTGTGTTAGCAGCGCCCCAGCTGAATCGAGGTGTGCAAGCTGGGACCACGGCTCAGTGTTAGCGTCACCTCTGCACCAACACTAAACAAACTGGTGAGTAAATTCCCCCGCTCAGAGTAACTCACTCGGTCTGATTTTTTTATGCCTCGGCTGCACTGCTGGAGCCTGCCCCAAGTGTGCATGGTCCTGGGGCTGAGGCAAAGCCAGGGAGGAGAGGAGTGGGGCCGTGGAAGTGCTGTTTGGAGGGGAGCAGGGCTGCCGTCCTGCAGCAGAGCCCTCTCGGGAGAGCTGGCTGCAGGGAGTGAAGGGGCCTTGTGGTGCTTTGGGCTGTGGAGCTCCCCCTTCACAGTCTGTAGGCTGATGAGGTCTCTGCTGATCAGGTGCCAGCCAGAGACTTCTCAGTGGCAAACAGGTGGAAAAAAGGGTTTGCTCCCTGTGGTGACTTGCACAGCAAAGGCTGTTTGTTGGGCAGAGAGTGTCCTTGAGGCTGGTGCAAAGGGGTGTTTGGGCTGGGGGTGAGCAAAGGGGATGAAACCATGCCGAGTGACGAAGAGTTGGCACGCTGGGGTCTCACTGTGCTCGCTTTTCCTTCCTTTATCACCCCTTGTCACTGAGGGGAGGTGATGCAGCTGGAGCTGCCTGTGAGTGACAAACCCCCCACCCTCGTTCAGCATCCCAAACTGGCAGAGGGCTTTGGCTCCTTTTGGTGGGGCTGTGGGATGCAGGAGCTAGTGCTGGGACAGAGGGTGGTGGCATCTCGGGCTGCTTCGCTGAGGAGGTCCTGTGGTGCGCGTCCCACCGCTGGGGTACGTCCTGCTGTGCTTCGGGAAGCTGCTTTCTCCCAAGCTCTCTTTGGGAAGCAGGCAGTAGCCAGCGATGTACAAGTGGAATCAAATTCAAGGCAGGATTCCCGGGGACAGTTTCCAGCCCGGTCCTTGTTGAAGCGGGACAGGAGGTAGGCAGCAAGCTGCGTGCCTTCCCCGAGGAGCTCCAGCTGTGCCCGTAAGATCAGCACAGGATGAGAGAGCAGTGCTTCTGTGGCAGCTCGGAAACCAGCCCTTCTTCCCAGCTGTGTGTGAGACAGGGTTATGAGGAATTTGCCCGGGGAACGTAACGTCAAGATTTCTTGTGCTGCTTTCCCAAGCGACTGCTGCTAGCCTCTGCTGGAAGGGGGATGAGACGCGTGGGGAGCATTGCAAACCACACCTCCTAGCTTGGACCTGCTCTGATCCTCTGTTTACAGTGGCGGTGTCATTTCTTCGCTGGCTTTTTGCTGTGGAGCACTGCTGGCTGCAGGGAAGGGGAACGACACCGTCCCGCTGCTGGAGGTATTTAGGGACGCCTGCGGGGAGAGAGGAGAGGAGGCTGTGGAAGAGGGGGGAAAGGAGGTGCAGGGAGCCTCTCGTAGGCAAGGAATTACTTGAGCAGAAGGACGACTGAAGGAGTTAGCAAGTCGCTGTGTCTCGGTGGTTTTTGCCTCGGGACTTTCTGCTCTGACTTCCTGCTTTTGCTTTAAGGAAGCAGAGTGGGGACGGACGGACCCGCTGCCTGCAGGGGCACGCCGTGTGCCCGCAGGAAAGGGTCGCTGCTCCCGGGGCAGGGGGAAATGTGTTGATCGGTGTGGAAGAGCTGGAGACGCTTAATTAGCAGATGGGTCATTTTTCATTATTTTTTTTTCAGGTTACCCAGCGTCTTTGTGAGTGTTGTGCTGAAAACACTTGCTTTCAGTTTTGGTAAGGTTCTGCAGGTCGCTTAGCTAATTCTGGTGGCTCTGTGGTTTGGGAACTGCGGATTTGGAGCGATCACTGCAATAGTTACGTTTTCCAGAGCAAAGGAAAAAGCAGTACGAGCTTACAGTATGTGGGGCTGTGGTGTTTCCTTACGAAACAGGTGTCAGGAGCTGGCTAGATGGAAAACTAAGGCTTTTCTTCTGCATGCTTTGTGCAAGTTTAGAATTATTCTTTAAGAACATTCCTTGTGGTGTTCGCTCCTTGCACTCCCCGGTGCGCGGGGAACGTGTGCGCGCTGCACGTGTTGTTCTGGAGGAGTGGTTCAGGGCTTGCGGCTGCTTTAAACGCCGGGTTTCCGTCTCGTGGCACTCCGAGGCTTTCCGGGGATTTCTTGGGATTGTGCCCCCTGCGTGAGAAAGGGAAAGGACACTTCTGGTACCTCGTGGGATAGCCTGGAGCTCCTGGGCGCTCAGAGCGGATCCTCTCTTCTTTAGGGGGAGGAAGCGGGAGCGGTAACTCCCTGGAGCCAAGACTTTTTGTGTGGCCTGACAGCCAGGAGGTGTCTGTGCTCAGGGAAAGGGTTTCATCCCTTTCCAGTGCACAGGTTACTGCGGCATTTCAGGGAAGGTGTGTAGCACAGCCAGCACCTCTGTAGCTGGCAGAAGGGCCGAGCCTGTGCCTCTATACCCACTGTTACCCAGGGGTCCCAGCGGGGAGGTGCCCAGGTGTCACGCAGCAGCGATGCAGGCGTTTTGGTGGGGCAGGGAACGGGTTAATGGGCTTCTCAGAAATCGGCTTCCCCCAGCTGTGTTTGTTGTTTCAGCAGCATTTGCAGGAAGGTCAAACTGTCCGTGGGTCCCATGCATTGCTTGTGGGCGAAACCGATACAGTGCCAGCCACAGGCAGGCTCCTCAGGGGGCTGCGCTCTCCAGAAATCCTCTCCCACTTGTTAATCTTTGCAAAGGGTTTTTGTCCTTGAAGTGCGCTTTGCAGATTAAGCACGGCAAGGTGAAACTTCTCTCCCCGGTCCTGTTGCTAACATACAACCCAGAAATGATAAGGGCAGTGAGATCGCCCTGTCCAGTTCTCAACAGACTGGAGATGGGTTGCCTTGGGTGAGGAAAAAATGGTTCAACTTCACCCACCCCCTGCAGCTGTAGCCCTCTGGAGGAGTTCGTCGCATCCTGCAGAGAGCTTGCTGGCTCAGATGGAGAAGAAATGTGTCCAGTGAGCAGTGTGAGCAGAGCAGAGGGTCTCCTTCAAAAGGGACCTGCTGGTCTGATGTTCTGGTCTGCTGTTTCGTCTGTGTGTGTGCTGAGGGAACTGCTGGAGGACAGCATTAGGCTGTTGATTTTTCTTTGTAGAAGGATAATTTCAAGGTCAAGGATGTTAAACAAAAAAAGCTTTCCCCAGTCCTGGGGAGAAGCATTCCAGTCACCCAGGATAGGATTGTCACGGGATTTTTAGCCTTTGTGCAAAGAGGGCAAAGTTGCTGAGGAACCTTGCAGCTGGCCAGGAGCTCGGGCCCAGAAGAGTGGACAGCTATTAGGAAATTTAATGAAGAAGTGGCAACAAGATTGGGATCCAGCTAGAGGAATGGCCAGGCTGAACCAGCATCATGTATTCAACAGCAGCTGATAGCAGGTACCCTCCTCTTCCCATCGTAAATGCAGAACAAAACGTCCCTAGTATGCTCTGGTGGTTGCTTGTGGCTCAGAGATTTCTCTGAGATAAAAAGAGAGATTTGTTATAGCAGCCCTTTGTGGACAAACTCAGGAAGGAAAAACCAACCGCTTCTACAGCCTGTGGATGCGTATGACATCCCTGGCATCCTGTGTTAGGGAGTTCCACGCTTCAACAGCTCATGAAGAAGTGCTTCCTTGTGCTTTGTGTGCACCACCCAATTTCAGCTGAGGCTCCCGAATTCTCCTCTCCGAGATGGCAGTGACTGGGGACAGTTCTTTACCATCTCTGCCATTCAGGAATTGGTTACATGCATGACTCCATAAAAACAAATTTCTGCATTCAAAGCTTTTGTGTATCCTTTAGGACCTTTCATCCATTTATTGAGCAAAAATCTGCCCCTGAATAATACATTTTTGCCCTTCAAGTACTCCAAGGACACCAAGAGGGTGTGTGTGGCTCATCATCAGCAGAGGACTGAGGGCTCCCCTTGCTCAAGGCAGCGGAGCTCAGAGGAAATCGGCGGTGATGCTCCATTCAAGGTGCCGAGGAGCTGCTCTGGATTGACGTCTTCTCCTGTAAAAACTCTTTGAAAGCCCCGAGGTGCAATCTGCCTCCTGACTGCTGCACTCAAAGCGCCGACCTTCAGCTTCGCAGTGCTGCCGGCAGTGCTCAGCAGGGAATAAAGGTTGTGTTACCTCGACATGGGTAAAATACCCTGTCCTTCCCAACTGCTGGGCTCGAGCTGATTGCCCCTGTCCTCTAGCAACCACATACTTGTGGTGGAACATTAACAGCAGTGGCATCAGTGAGAAACTCAATACCTCTCAGGGCCTTCTCCACTTGACTGAGTGAGTGATATTTACTTTCTGCTGGATAATTGTGTCCTTTGTGGCTGTGCAGCGAGAGCTCTGATCTGTGGAAGTGCAGTGACTTCTTCGTGACGCTAAAGGGTCTAATGTGGGGTTTTTCCACTCCTCTGCTGTTGGGGTGTGTGACATGAATCCTTACATTGCATTGTTTGGGATGTCGCAATGTTCTGCTTTGTCTCATTAAAAAAAAAAAAGTTTGGGGAAACTTGAAAGACTTTATAAAGTGAAGAAATTTCTAAAAATGACTTGTTATTAAGCTGGCTATTGCTGTTTGTCATGTCTTGTTGCAGGCTTGTTCTTTATTTTCTGGAAAATCAGCTGCGTACTAGTTACATGGACACATCCTAGACTGTTAGCTGTTTATGGAAAAAATGTGTTTTGGATTTAGCTTTTAATTGCTGAGAATTAACTCTCGGCCCAAACACTGCTGGAGGAAAAACTGATGCTTTCTCTCCCGCTCCCCAAGAAAAACAACCCAACAAAGGCCAAAACCCCAGCGAGCAGGAGCGGTTCCAGAGCAAACACACGCCCGCGGTGTTTGCGGTGCCAGCAGGGTGACACGGCCAGCGTGACAGCTGCCGAGTGTCCCTGGCTGGCCATAGGTACGGCAGAGGGGCAGAGCATGGGCGCGATGAGACGGAGCATTTGTGGTGATCTCCTGGGGAAAGGATACGGTCTGGGGATGTCGTGGACACCTGGAGACGTTGCTGTGATGACTCCTGGCGCGTGTCGGTGCTTTCTGCTGCGGTGTTGGACTGAGAAGCTGAGAAGGCAGCCCCAAGTGCAGCTCAGGAAGTTCATTCGTGCTCACATCTTGAAATAAAGCAGAGAACTGTCTCCAGCTGGACACAGATCGGGGTGTGCAGCAGGTTCCTTCACGGCAGGTTTCTCTGACAAAGTTCAAGAGGTTGGCGTGGGAAGTCATAAAAAATGAGTTCCTGTTTGAGGTGAGGGAAGTGCTGAACTGGAGCAGAGCACGTTTTCCAAGATGCTGCCGTGAGTGAGGGAGCCCATTCCTGCAGTCCGTGCTGCTGGGATACACCTCCTTATCTTCCCGGCACATCCCACGGTGAAGTCACCCATCGATATTGCAGCACGGGTTAGCTCCGAGCTATCAGGCTGGGCTAATCTCCCGCTGAATAAACAACACAAAGGTTCCTGGATTCGTTCCTGTTCCCTTAAAGGGATACAATCGAGTGCAGGCAATTACAGGAGAGAGAGAGCGTGCATGAAGTGGAGCTCGAGATATTACACCTGATTGCAGGCGCTCGGCCCTGGGCGTGTGTGTGGGTTCTTAGTTTTTTAAGGAAAAAAGCCTCATAAAACAATCGGTGTTTTTCTCATTTTTCAATGTATTTCTTTTCCTGCCGTTCCCTTTGGGAAGGGAGAACCCAACAACCACCCAAACAGATCCCAAACAATGGGAGCCAATTTCCTATCGAAGGGAGAGAGTAAAGTTAATTTTGTACAAAGTACGCTGAGAAATAACTCTTTTCTTCCTGCTCTCCTCCCAGCCTTTTCAGAGGCTGTGGCAGAGCCTGTTAAAACAGCTTCCACCAAATGGGCGTCCGGTTCCTTGGAGCAGCTTTTGGAAATTTCAGCCTGCGTGGGACCTCATTCGACACGGGGTTGGTGGCGTTCTCTGGCAGGGCTTCTCCACGTTCACCTGATCGGAGAGACTTGCCTGGCTGTCATTCAGTCAGCCCTCGTAATATCTGCCTTTTGCACACAGTGAGGATGCTTGTAAACGTGTGTGAGTAATTATAATTGCTGTAAATATGTGAGATCACCGAGTCGCACGGTGCTATAAAACCTGAGAGCCTCGTCACCTGCAGAGGGGACTGTGCCCTACGAGGAGCGCTGTTTTTACAGCAATTACTGGCTTTCCAAAGAGCGGGAGGGAAGGGAAGGCAGAATAAACAGAGCGAGCGGCACGTTTTTGATGCAAAATGATGTACGGACACATAAAGCTTTTATTGACCCTTTCTTTGAAATCCTACTTGTTAGCTGGTGCTCCCGAGTGACGCTCCCGGTCCATGAGCAAGCGAAGGCGCTGAGCTGCGGCATCTCGGTCTGCGCTCTCTGAGCACCCGGAGAAAGGCAAGGCTGAATCGCTGCAGCACTCCTGCACAAGCCTGCGTGTGCTGCTGGGTGGGCTCCTCGCATGGGCCTGATCCTGCCAAGCCTCTTTTTGTGGGCTCTGCTTGGAGAGCAGGCGGTCTGCCTGCAGCACACCGTTGCCCCGGGCACCTCGCTGTCCCTAACATCACTTCTCTGGCATTTCTGGTGCTGGGCTTCCTTTAAAGTTGCCGGGCTCTTTGTCTGCAGGAGGAGTAGAAATGACAGGGTGTGTTCTTCTGACCTGCTTCAAGAACTGGCGTAGCTGTTTGGCTTTAGTATGAGGGTGTTTTTTTTCGTTTCCGATAATATTGTTTTAGGCAGAGACACACAGGATCTCCTCTCCGAAACTTCCCAGCAGGTATCTGAACGCTTTGTTTTGTTGTACACCTGGGACACCTTCTGCATACCTATAAAGAATCTCCTTTAAAATTCCCTTCTGCCACAATGTCACCAAAAAATAGTGGTACAGGAACACAAAATGCTGCTTTCCTTCGTAGCTCCGCAGGCCCCAAGCACCGGACTTGCTCTGTAATCCTGGTAAGCCACTTATCCAGTTGTCCTTAGCTTTCCCTTTGTTAACTGTTGATTCATTGCCCCGCTTCTGGCAGGGCTGCTAGGAATGCTGCGTGTCCAGTGCCTGCACAATGCCCTGCCGGTGATGGAGGTCAGCTGAGGACCAGCTGTGGGGAATTTGGCTGGGCTCCCCCCTTTCCTTTCCTCCTTGTCATCGGGCTGAGAAAAATGAATAAAATTGTCATGTGTGCTCAGTCCTCATGGTCACACAGATAAGGGCTTGGCTGTCGACTGTGTTCGAGTAATGACTTTTCTTTACCTCTGTAACGCTGCTTACTGCTACAAAAGAAGACTTTCTGAGAGAATAAATGGGAAACCAGGACCTTGTAAAAGTATCCTGAGAGGAGCATCCCCCCCCCGCAGGAAAAGCACCTTGGGTTCGTTCTTTTTGTTGAAATCTGCAGGCCTTCCAAGTTTCATGTTCATTTCTTTTTTTTTGTCTTCATCTGTGAGGCTTTAGAACTATTCTGCTGCTTGAGTTTCATGTGTAATTATCGATCCAGGAACAGCCTTAAAATGAAGCACCAGCCCCGGCCTCGCAGCGGCGGGGAGGACGGCGCTGCGGGCATGGGCAGGTGACGTGACTTACCCCGGGCCATATGGCAGGCTGAGTCAGGACTGAGGTTCAGGTCTTGTGATTTCCCCAGAGGAGGCCTTGCCCAGCAGACCCAGCTGTTTTTCTGACCCAGCTTTGCACGAGACAAACTGCAGTTTATGCCTCGAGTGGTTAAAATATGTGTAAGACTGGCCTGAGTTGCCTGTGCGTGGAAGAGCACCCAGTGCTGGTTTTCCTTACTGTCCATCGGGGTTCTCCTGTGCTTTCCCTGAGCTGATCCGTGTTTGCTTTCCAGGTGTAATGCACAGGTCCTGAGGATCATCTCAGACCCCTTGGGTGAGGGAAGAGGGAGCAGCAGGACGTGACACGCAGAGGTGGCTTCCAGCGGGCCGGAGCGGCTGGAGCTTGGTGGTGCCATCAGGTCCCAACCCTTCCACCTTCTGGGGGAGTTGTTGGTGGTTTGGGCTGGATGAACTCTGCTGCGAACCACTGCAGGTGTTCTTATGGTTGTACATCTTATGGTAGTGCCATCTCAACATGGAGAGCCACCTCTGGCTTCAAGCCACCTGAAACGACTTGAACAAGAGACTCTTAACGGGCTTGGTTTCTCACATGTAGGAGTCAAATCCTTTCAGACTTTTGCCCCTGCTCCTCTAATGAAGAGGCTTTTAGCTCCACTAGGATTTGGGAGCTACAATACGGCTGGGCTTTTGATAAAACAGGGAGATGCTAGAGGTGGGGATGTAACGTTTCTGATTTCAGCTTGCAAACGAATCCCTGAGAGAGAGCAGAGCATCCTCCTTGTGCAGCCTTTTGGTGGCTGCAGCAGGGCTGGGGAGACATCCTCTGTTTGGGTTGCCCTGGGCTGTTGAAACATAAACTATGGCACTGCTAGCAAAAAAGTAAAATCTTCTGGTGGCATCAGTGTCTCTTAGTGGGAAGTTTTAGAAGACTTATTTCTTATTCGTGCTTTTCCATATTGTTCCTTTTTTTTTTCTTTCCCTCAGTCCTGTCAGGGCTCTTGCTTTGAACTCCCTTGTGGAACAAATGGGTCTGGCAGAAAGCTTTAGCAAGGTGGCCCGTGGCCGCCACTAATTACCATTCATCAGTGTGGCTCTCTGACTTCTCACCATAGACACCTGTAAAATCCATGCAGCTAAAGATACTTAGGTCTATTTTTTCCTCTTACAGGTCTGACTTCTCATGCTTTCTTTCCCCAACGCTGCTCCCCAAAGCTTGAGTCCAGCTCTGCGTCCCCTGCTTGCCAGGGATGGCTGCTTGACCAGAAACACAAAATGCTCCCAGTCTGTAGGCAGTCTTCTGCAGAGTTTCAAGTAAATATTGTTTCAAGTGACACTAAGCAGAGACGCCCGGAAAAAAATACGGATTTGCGAGAGGGAGCAAAGCATTCTGCTCGTTCTCTGAAGCAGAACAACCCTCTGGCTCACGAAGCGGCAGTAATGAATGGAGTCACATAGCACGGTGCATAATCGCCTTCTCCCTTTGTATTAGTTTCATACAGTTCTTGCGTGGTGACATTCTTCCAGGCCAACAAGTTCTTTATCGTCCCGACGTACTGAGGGTACAAACAGAGTCGAGTCGCTCGTTATCGTTGCATCTGTACACGGCTTTTAATTCCTTGGAGGTTTCACAAACAAAAAACCCAAGCCCTCGTGGCTAGCTCCGTTTAAATCTGCTGTCAGCCTGCTTGCACAGCTCGCTTCTGCCCTGCAGGGCAGAGCACAGAGCTGCTGCAGGAGACGCCTAAATCAACTGGTGCAACAGGGCTTAAAAATGCGGTGGTGGTGCTGAAGAAAAGCTGCCTGGAGAGCGTTATGTGGTGGGCTCAGCAGGTCGGAAGGTGGGTTGGGGTAGGGATGCATTGTGTGCATCTTTACAGTCCCCCTGCTGTGCTTACAGGGGTGCTCTCTTTCTTAGCCGTTCTGTTTCATGTGCGTGTAAATAATGGGAATTATTTTCTTTGGCATCTGAAATGTCTCCATAATTGTGTGGTTTCCTTCCTACAAAGGTGAACATTTCAGATTAAAATTCTGTTTGGCAGTTTATGAGCTCTCAAAACAGAGGCAAAAAGGGCAGGAGTGCCCAGATTATTAATTTTTTCCCATCTTATGTCCAAGTATAGGAATGTTCAGACCTTTCTTTTTGCGCTGTGGTACCACGGAAGAAGATGGAGTTACTGTTGGGAAGTGTTAACAAGAAAGTGCCAGCGCTGAGAAGTCAGATGTGGGGTCTGGGTGGGAGAGGTGATCCTTTTCCTCTTTCCTCCATCGCCTGCACAGATCTTCCTCCTTGCTGCCTTTGTCCTGCTCTGGGCTCGTGCAGCTGTGGTGCAGGTCTGCACAAAAAAGCAGCAGGAGGAGGCAGAGCTCGTGCTGATGCCAGAGGAACGCGGAGCAGAGGGAAGCATCGCGTGCAGGGAGCTGGCCCTGCTCTCAGCACACAGCACGGAGGGTTACAGCCGTGTGGCAAGCCCAGTTGTGCCTGTGTGGTGTCCAGCACGTACCTCTGCCACCTCTCTGTGTCCCAAACCCCCAGCTTTCTGCTGGGTAGCAGACACAGGTGCTGAATATCAGCCACCAACAAGGCGTGTAACTAGGTGATGCGGTGGTAAGAAGCAGAGGGTGACGTTTGACTGGGCTTTCTGTTTCCTGCCCCACAGCTCGCCCGTTTGCCCCTGCCCTGGGGGAGAAAGCTCTGACAAGATGGAGAAGCGGAGGGGTTCGTGCTTGAGATACGTGCACTGGGAAGCAGACGAGGAGGGGGCCGAGGAGGGTGAGGTGACTCCTGCTGCTTCTCCTTCCAGCCGAACGACTGCGTTGGAAGAGGTGGAGGTGGAGATGCTCAAAAAGGCAAGGGAGCTCTTCCAGCTGTGTGACAAGGATGAGAAGGGCTTTATCACCAAGCTGGACATGCAGGTGAGGGAAAAAAATCCATCCCCTTTCCTGGGAGGAGCTGTAAAAGTATGGGGGGAGAACGTGGCATATCTTATCCTTTGGCAGGCATGGGCGTGCACGTGTCTGCCTCCCTGCGAGCCAGGCTCTGCCACAGCCGGCTGCCAAAACTCCTGGGAAGGCTGTGTACCCCTTGGGAATTCCTGGGACTGCAATCCCAAATTTGTAAGGAATGCATATAATTAAAAAAATTGCAACAGATCCTACAAACGTTAAGCACGCGATGGATGGGAAATCTGGGGAAAAAATCTTTGGTTTATTTAAAAAACAAAATAACACCACTATAAACAACAACAAGCCCACCAGTCTTTTAACAACAACAACAAAGAAGCCCTCTAACTTTTGTTTTTGTCTCAAACATAGCTGAAGCCTTATCCCAGACATTCTCTTTAGGCCTGAATATTTTTCTGGTATAATACATTCTGCCGCTTTTTGTTCAAAACAGCCCGTGTTAACAGAATCTCGCTTTCTTTGTGCTTTTTGCTTTAACGTTTTATCAGGAAGGTTACATGTGGGCTGTTTTTCTCCTGTCCCATCTCCTTCTCAGTCTCTGATTAACATTTGGCAAGTCCAGTTTAGTAAACAAATCCTGGTTTGACTTTTGACTCATGGGTTGCGCGATGCCTCATTTTGTATACTGACGTTAATAAATATTTCTTAAGCTTTATCCAAAGCTGAGTTTTTAATGGATGGTGATGGGTTTTTGGCCCAGACCTCATGTTATTTGGAAGCTTTTTTGGAAACCCCTTGGCACTGTGTACTCTGCACATGTATTACAAAGGGAAATCTCTCTGTTCCTTGTCTGTGTAGCGGGAATAATGATGCAATCCCAACAGACAGATGACAGAAGGAAGCTAACTCTCTGCTACAGACTGAACGTTTTCCTTGTGATCTGCAAGGTTTCCTGCAAGAGCTAGGAGCTGAACGCAGACACCCTGAGTCCTAGATCACCAGTCTGTGCTCCCTTTCTGGCTGAAGAGGTGGAGCTGGGACCTGGTGTGCCCACGGAGCTCCCTGGGAGCAGCAGTGGCCACAGGAGGCACAACCACCCTTGGGTAGAGCCTGGGCAGGGCCGGGTGGAGGCAGGCGGTGAGCTGGAGGCTGTAGTGGGGCTGGAAGAGGGATGAGCTCCCTTCAAACAACAGAACCTGGAGCTCTCTCTCTGCAGACCTGCTTGGATCACCAGGTGATGGAGAGCTTTATCAGTGGGCTCAAACAGGTGCTTGTGGTGTGACTCAGGCACACCATAAACTGTCTCATCCCAGCCAGGGCACAGAAAGCTGGGTCCAGCATAGACAGAGCAGGTCACGGGGAAGACTTGAGTCATGCCTTCATTTTGTTCGCTCTTTTTCTCTTTGCAGCGGCTTCAGAGTGAACTCCCCCTAACGCTTGAGCAGCTGGAGACTGTTTTTGACAGCTTGGAGCAGAACAATAATGGATACCTGACGCCTGTGGAGTTCAGCATGGGGCTGGGTAAGGACTGCACGGAGAAAGAGGAAGGAAAAATCTGTTGCAGATTTTTTTATGCTGGCAAGAAAGCTGCAAGTGCAGTGCTTCTGCTGAAGCTGTACCAGTTATGCGTGGCAGTGCCCCATGGTTACCTGAATATCACTGGAGCAGGTGTGTGTACAGGGCTGTTGGAGGAGTAGCTGTATCCTGATTGAGCAGGGCTTTTTTTGGGTTTGGGCAGCTAGCCATAGGCAGACGTCATGAGGGTACCTGCCTCAGTGTGGGTAGAGCAGGCCAGATCTTCCTTCGGGCCACCCTGTCTGGTTGCTGTGTCTCAGCCAGGAACAGAGCCACTTGTCAGGTACCACCCTGTCTTGGCAGCCTGGCTCCCTGACATTTGCTCCAGTTCGGGCAAAACACTTTATTGCAAAACACTTCATTTCTCCATTTCTTCTCCTTATGGTCATTCCTTGGGCTGGCCTCACTGAGATCCTTTTCAGGCTGACCTCTAGCTCAGGAATTTGGCCTGGCATCCTGCTGTTGTCCTTCCAGAGCATACAGGGGGGAGATCAAGGGAGAGAGCTCCAGCTGGGAACTGAGCAGCCATCAGCTCTGCTTCTTCAGAGAGCTCCTTGCATGGCCTCTGAGAGCTTACGGGGTGTTTCTGCACAGCTGACATCAGTTTACAATGTTCAATGTAAAACAATGTGATGGGAGATCCTTCTGGGGTGTCAAAACAATCTTCCAATTATTCCCTACCTCAATTTTTCCAGCTCTAAGAGACAGTTAATGAGAGATAATGATTCTTTTCTTAAGTAGACATCCAAAGTGCCTGATCTAAGTCCACCCCCTTAATAACTGTCCAAGGCTTTAAGCTGGAGTGGGGCCTGCCTGCCTGTGCTTTAGATTTTTTACACATTTTAAGAGTGGGAGAGAGGCTGCTAGGTTCTGCATCCCTCTGCATTACTCCCAGCGTGAAGGAAAACATGTTGCAGACCCCAGCAATGTGTGTCTTATGCTGGGCTGGAGCGGCCCCCAGCCTGGCAGGTCTCCAGCAGATGCCCAGGGTGCAGTGGAGCTGTGACCACCTGGGAAGAGGAGGAGGAAGTGCAGTGGGGCAACCTGCCATGTGTTGGATGCAATCCCTGGCATCTAAGCACAGAGAGACAACAGAAAGGGAAAAGAAGCTTGCATCAGGACCTCAGCACTCTTTTTTACAGGTGACTTCTCACAGTATTATGCGTAGTTAGCGGAGAGGATGTGGTGAAGACGTTTGGAGCCAAGCCGTGGTAGAGTTAAATGATGGGAGGTGCACAAATTTGGGATATTTTCCCTGTAGAGTAGCTTCATGTTCTTAGCCATGCTCTGAACATCCTTGGCTCCTGGCCCTGTGGCTGGGATGTCAGTTTCGGATCCAAGCAGATGCGTCCTGGGATGGAAGGGTGGCTGCTAACAGAGGCCTGACCTCGGTGTGCAGGACGAGGGCCTGAGTTCTGGACAGGCTCACTCAATTTGTTTCTTTAAGAATTCGTTCCCAGCACCAGTTCCTGTCACATGCCTTGCATAGCATGAAATTCTCATGGCATTAGTGTCTCAGCGTGAAACAGGATCTGGAAGGCTGGAAGCTGAACATACGTGGGATGGGGCCGGAGGGGGTGCCGAGAGGATAAGGTCATTTTGCTCAGACGCCACGCAGTCCTAGCAGGAGGCAGTCCTCGTCCTGTAGCGCTTGAATCAGAGCAGAGGTAGCACATGAGGAGGGAAGGGTGATGCTCTCCCACCACCACTGTTTATAAGCTGAGAAACCGAGGCACGGAGCTATTCGGTGCTTGGCTTGCAGTCCCAGAGGGAGTTTGTGGCACCACTGACAAATGCACCCACAGCACCGCTCCGCAGCAGTGAAATGACCAAATGCCATCTTCCACGTGCGGAGGATCCAAGGCTGCAGGTGGTAGATCATCCTAGCACAGATGTGAACAGAGCCATAGCAGCCCTTTGTCAGGCTGGAAGCCAGCCTCAGTGCCAGCATCGAAGACTGGACGCTGGACACATCGTTCAGGATGGCAGAGCGAAGGCTCTTTGCTGACCAGGAGCTGTCTTCTACAAGAGCAGCATGCACGCAGCTTCTGGTGGAGCTGTGTCGGGCTGCTATTTGAACAACAACTCATTAAGTGACATCTACATGTAATTTGACTTCCTTTTTTCTCCTTCTTCCCTTCTCCTTCCATCAGGAAAGCTGATAGGGATTGACCTGTGTCAGGGGGCCGGAAGGACGGATCGCTCCAGTCACGAGGAGACCTTTGAGTCAGGCTGGTCAGATGATATGGACCCGGCAGATGATGAAGAGAAACGCTTCTGCTCCATGATGGAGCAGCTCGGAGCAGCCCAAGTATTTGAAGAGTAAGTAGGAGAATCTCATGGCCCTACTTCTGCCATGTTTTGAACTTGCAGTGCCGACACTTGAAAGTACCAGCGAACACCAAGGAGGTGAAGTGAGCTGCTTGCTCCCTGAACTACTGCTTGGGTTTTCTGTCTTGCTCTCTCGTGTTTTCATATGCTTGGTAACAAATGCAGTGAAGTCTGGGTTTTCTCATCGGTTATAAATTACTTTCAGTGCAGTGCTTCTCTCAGTTTCCCAAACTGCAAGTTCAATACCACAGCTGTAACATGTAGCAATTGATGTGGAAACTCATAGGCAGGCAGCAAATGAAAAGAAGCCTGTGAGGGTTAGACAAGGTAAGGAGGATGTGTGTGCTGTCTCTCCCAAAAGGGGGTGTGATTGTTCACACATGGCCAGAGAGTCTTAGCTCTGAGAGCGTGCCTGAAGGATCTGTGCTCAAGGGGCCGAGGGGCCGCTTGGGGCTGGGCTAATCTTGAGAACGGTGAGAGGCTAAAATGGGCAAGGGATAAAAACCCGTGCCTTAAAAATTGATATCAATGCTCATGCAGTGGCAGAGTCTGCTGACCCCAGTGTCATGCAGCTGCTACACCACAGGAGATTTTTTTTAGGGCCTTTCCAAGTGAAAGATTCTCCATAATTGCTTCTTACTGATGCATACCTGCTGGAGCTGGGGTGGCCCGACAGCATCCATGGCAGGCTTTGATTTTTTCAGACGTCGTAGTACAACAGTTGTCAGCAGCTTGCTGGGAGCAGCCCTGCTCCCAACAGGGACAGGAGATAGACAGGATTGGAGACAGAAGCTGAGAGCAAAGGATTCTGCTGCTTGTAGAGCATCGTCTGTCATGAAACAGATTGTTTTGTTTCATTTTCATTGTGATACAGAACACCTACCTGTCTTTTTTAATGCTAAACAGCTTCTCAAGAAAACTTCTGGGAAGCTTCTATGCCTCAAAGAATGGGATGACACTGTGAAAGGCTTTATGTATTAATGTTTTGGATGAGTAGCTTCTACTGTCTACAGCTGTTTGTGAAGCATCTGGTCTTAAAGTGTGTTAGGACTTACCCTGTGTTTTGTTTCGACCACTTACTTGTAGGTTTATGCAATGAATCCAACAGCTACTTCATATCATACCTCTGTGCCGAGCCAGTTGTAAGGAATTAACGAAAACCAGAACTTAACTGGGGATAGATTAGGAATCTGAGCTATCTTCACTGCTTTTGCTACAGATAAATGGCTTTGAGTGTTAATGGAGCTGAATATTTTCTGTTATCTAAAATCTGAAGTTTTGAAGAACTGTCAGTAATTTTTTTCAACTTGAGACAAAAGTGGGAGGCTATCTTGTGACGGTGGCAAAGGGAATTAAGGGCTTTTTGGTAATCTTTTTTTTTTCATGAAGAATACTAAGGAAGACAAATACATAGGCAAAGAAAACTTTCTATTTGGATAATGGCTATGAATATAATTGTTTTGTACATTTCAAGGTAGTTTCTCCAAAGTAATCCATGGATTTAAAAAAAAAAACATGAGACTTATGAGACTCTTTGAGAAAGATTGAGTTTCTAAGTGCTGTGTACCAGTTGTGATGAGCTAAATGCCAAACAATACAATTGTTATTGCAGGTTCAGAAAAACAAGACTTTGGATTTCTGGGGCTTCCTGCATAATCTTAATGCAACACCTTGGAAAACTTGCTGAATAAGCAAACAAACAAGGGCAGCAGCACCCACCAGTACAGTCATGGTGTGATAAAACCAATGTGATGTGTGCTGGCTCTGAGAGTTTGCTGCTTGATCACAGCTGACAGCAAACTTGCTGAATGTTTATCTCTTTCAATCTTCGTTTAAACACCAAATGTGTTATGACTGAGTGCTTGGAAAACAATCATTCCAGAACTGCTTTCTAGGTAACTCCTTTGCTCTTCCAGCTGACCTCCTTCCTGTTAACTTTGCAGTAGCTCTCAGTCCCCGTGCACACTCAGAAACTGCCTGCCCTTCCTCTTTGCTGTGTGGTGTAATGCAGGGGGTCACAGGCAGGGTGTCAGCCCCTGAATGCATATTGGAGTTGGAGTAACAACCCAGAAGATGACAAAAATTAATTTGCTTTCCTTCTCTCTTGTGTGCTTGCTCCAGTCCAAGTGAGGTTCGGGAGCTTTGGGCTCGGCTACGAAAGGAGCGCCCGGAGCTCTTATCCAGCTTTGAGGAGTTTCTGTTGCGTGTTTCATCCTACATCAAGGAGGTGAATCATGAGAAGGAGTCCATGGAGCAGGCATTGAAGCGGTAAGGAGAACATCATGGCCAGCTGCTGCCAGGAACCAGCTGGTACTTGGATGCAATTTCCTGTGTTACGTTCTTCCTCAAGGACAAGGGGAGACTGGGTTACAGGACATGGGCTCTTTTCTTGCTATGATAAAATGACTCCTTATCTCGACTTAATTGCCACAGGTTTGTTTTGCATCGGTGCACACCCGTAATGTTTGGTCTGGTTAAAATCCCACTCAAATAACTTTTTGGCAATGCTGCACAGCTTTTAGTAGAACTCTTTCCGCCACATCTCCTGTTTTCTTTCTGCATTCTCTTTCTCTCTCTTGACAATGCACCTTTCCTTTTGTAGGAAGGAGACAGACCATGACCGAGAAGTCAGGTGCCTTTATGAAGAAATGGAGCAACAGATCAAAGCAGAAAGGGAGAGGATAATCTGCCAGGTACCTCGTCTTTCTTGGCTGAAGGCAAACTTTCTCTGGTCTGAAGCAGGGGTGGTGGCTCATCTGGCCAAGGAACAGCTCTTAGCTGTGCTGGGTGTTACATCAGCAGCTGTGTGTCTTTACCTCTGCAGGAAGCACTGAGACATGACAGGAGTAACCTGCTCCAAAAGGAGCTGCGCAGCAAAGAGCAGGAGCTGGAGAAAATTCTCTACCGACAGAAGAAGGTAACAGGACCCAAGGCCTTTCTGAAGCATATCCCCTTCTACTGTCTTTCTGTTAAGACCCCTTCTGTCTGAGGGTGGTTTTCATCAGCTGACACTTAGCGTTAGCTAGTCCCGTTGTCGCCTGTCCCTGAAAGTGCTGAAGTGGATTGGTTTGTCCTCAGCTGAAGCGTCATCCTGTCACATCCTGGCTGCTCATCTTCTTATCTGGTTGGGTTTCTCTGGTACTTTGCCTTGCCTTTATTTGGCAAGGAAAATGGGGTAGAGATTTGGAAATTGTGAGTTTGGGGCCTTTTGTGGTGTGTAAGAAAGCTGTGTACGCACATGCAAAAGCCAAATTTCTATAGTTTTTCTTTTGCCCCAGAATAACCCAGAGGGAACAGTTCTGTGATGCTTTGAGTTGTTTGTGCTGCATACTTGCATTTCAGCATCTGATGACGTACTGATTAATCAGTCAATGAAAAGATCAAAGCAGAAACTTTCCATTGGCTTTCTGTCCCTGCTATGTGCATTTGTATGTGACGGTCTGTTCTGGGTGTCTTTCCTTTCTTTGAAAAACTGAGATCCATGGCCTCACCACCCTCTGAGTGAAGAATTTGCTCCTAACCTCTAAACTAACTCTCCCCTCTTGAAGTTTAAAACCATCCCCCTTGTCCTGTCACTCCCTGCCCGAGCAAAATGTCACCCTCCGATCTTTTCAATATGCCCCCTTTAAGTATAGAAAAGCTGCAGTAAGATCCCCCTGGAGCCTTCTCTTCTGTAGGCTGAAAATCCCCAGCTCTCTCAGCCTTTCTTCATAGGAGAGGTGCTCCAGCCTCCGAGCATCCTCGTGGCCTCCTCTGGACCTGCTCTAACAGCTCCACATCCTCCTGGTGCTGGGGGCCCCAGCCCTGGATGCAGCACTCCAAGTGGGACCTCACAAAGGCAGAGCAGAGAGGGACAATCATCTCCCTCCCCTGCTGACCACTCCTCTGGTGATGCAGCACAGGATGCAGTTGCCCTTCTGGGCTTCAAGCTCACACTGCTGGCTCATGTTGAGCTTTTTGTCCACCGGAACCCCCAAGTCCTTCCCTGCAGGGCTGCTCTCAATGACTTGACCTTAACCATAACCCTTGCACTTGGCCTTGCTGAACCTCGTTAGGTTCATGTGGGCCCACTTCTCCAGCCTGTCCAGGTCCCTCTGGATGGCATCCCTTCCTTCTGTTGGAAGGGATGCACTGCTCAGCTTGGTGTCACCTGCAAACTTGCTGAGGGTGCGCTTGGTCCCACTGTCCATGTCATTGGTAAAGACACTAAACAGCACCAGTCCCGAGATGGACCCCTGAGAATTATTCTTGAGACATAAAGGTACAATTGCTTAGGATTAAGGAAATGGAGCATTTGCCTTAAGAGGAGAAACTAGGAAAACTTAAACCTAACTTTAGAGAGAAGGAGGCTGAGGGAAGGTGTAACAGCTTTACGGACTCGGGATGGTGTTGTATATTATTATACATAATTATTATTACTATATATTATATTGTATAATGTAGTGTATAAAACATGTCAGTATTATTATATATAATTACATATTATTACATAATTATATATAAAACATAAAATCCACGTGGAACTATTATTCCCTAAACCCAACAACAGCAGAGGCGAAGGGCACTCAGTGAGACTAGTAGGAGACTGGTCTTGAAGGATATACTTCTTTACAAGGGGACTAGAAAACTGCATTTTTTTACCACAGGAGGTTGTAGAGGAAAGCAGTATCAGCAATTCAAAAATGGATTGGACAAACTAATGGACAGGAATCTGTAAACATGAAAAGGAGAAATAATCAGGGATGGAGATTCTTATCCCCAGTCCAAGTACCGTAGGTGCTGAGGATGGAGATCGTAGTGGCTTTCTAGGCATGTTCTTCCTAAATAGTATCTTAGTGTGTTATGGCTCAGGGCAGAATATGGAACTATGTGGAGACTCTTACTCGACTGAGCATTTCTGATGCCTTTAACTCCGAGGCTCATGCCAAGCTACATGGATAGCCGGGTCCCTCTTGTGGTGTAAGGCCAGTATTGTGATCGTGCTGTTCTGCAGTACTGTTTGAGTACAGACAGCATAAAACCAGAGCTCTTTCTGACAGAGAGTTCTTAGGGAGGGGCAGGTGTTTTAATTAAAGCCTGTCCTCTGGCTTATTGACAGACCCAGATGCCATGGGCTGCTGTTGCTGTTTCTTACTCTGAACTTGACTGCTCAGCATGTGTGGCTGGATGCAAATTTTCCGTGATGTCCAAAGGACTGGAGCTCTCCAGGCAAAGCTGGGCATGACTTGTGCTTGAAGCCTCAGTGGGGAGAGATGTGGGGCTTGTGTTTCAAGGAACATAGGAAGGGTGAGCTCTGATCATGGCTGTTGTAGCTATACATTTGCAGAGAGCAGTAGGAAGGAGAAAAGCACTTTATCTTGTCCACAGCGTGCTGCTTTCCTTTCCCTCAGAGAGTCTAGCTGAAGGTGTGGAGAAAGCAGACTTAAAGCACTCATGGATTTCCATTTCCACAAGGGTACCTGCTCTGTGGTGAGATCGCATCTCACAGTGCCTGACTTTCTGTCTGTGTGGTAAGAAGTTGTCACAGATGGTGTTCAAAGGGCTAAACTTGTCTGTGTGCGTGGGCAAAACATTTAGTAACAGGCAGCTTGTGCAGCCTGGGTGATTGTGAGCGTGGAAGCGGAGTGCTCGGTTCAGGTTGTGGGGATCACAATTCCTGCATAGCACCAGCTTCAGCAGAGGGCCCTGGTTAGCTGGCACGGCTGGCTGGATGCTGACGTGCCAGTATGTTCTTCCTAGTGACGCTCTACTCAGCTGAGACGAGAGAATTGGGCTGCTGCATCCATCCTGGGCTCTCTCCCAGACTACGCCAGCCATTTGTGAGGAATCACATCACTTGTGGCAGCAGGCTTTGAACTTCCCGAGTCAGGCCTGTTGTTTGTGCTGGTGTCTTGTTGTGCTGTCTGGAGTGGCACTGTGCCCCAGTGGCACTTAAACAGCACCTCTAGCCCGAGGTTCGGTCTCCAACAGTAGAAAAAGGCACCCAGTCACTTACCTTCCCTTATGCCAGCAGTGTGACATGCCCCAACACCTCGAGGTATCCCCTTTTGGCTTAGAAGTCCTTAAACCAGACGATGCATTTCAACAGCTATGCTTCCCTCAGTAACCCCTGCCTCCACCCTGATTTTCCCAGTCCTCCTTTGAGCCCCATTTGCACTCTGATTTCTGCAGCGGTTTCTCCGATAGCAGCAAGTTCTTTGCACTGCCTGAAGCACTTCCTCAGCTGTGCCTGACTAATTGTGCTGCTTGCTCCCCAGTGCTGGCGCTGATGAGACATAATTGCTTCCAGTTCACCTTCTTGATACCCCTGGTGGTGTTGTAGACCTGAGTTGTGTTTTCCTCCCTTCTGCCTCATTTACATCTGCTCTTTCAGGTTATTTTTACAGTCATGACTGCAGCACAGAGCCCTTCCTCTCTGTATTTGACACCTCTTCCTCCTCCTCTCCCGTTACAGCTGGAACATCAGCTGCAGTCTCTGAACTCGGAGCAGCTGGAGACCCGTGTGCAGAATGAAAGGCTCCGGCACCTGAACGAAAACCTGCTGGAGGAACTGGAGAAAAGCAAGTGGGAGCTGGAGGCTGTGAAGGGGCAACTACAGAAGCTCCAGAAAGATGCCCAGCTTGAGCAAGAGCAGAAGGACAGGTAGGAGTGGGCAGGGAAGGGGCTGTGTGGGCTGTCTGAGCAGGAAGCCAGGCAGAGAAGGAAAGTGTGCAAGTAGTTAAAGAAAAAGGATCTCTAATTAGAAGCCTTGGCCTTGCCAGGAGATTGTCTGTTTCTTCTTGAGGGAGAGAGGGAACATGCAGTGGTGCTATGGGCCAAAAAAGGGTACGTTACTGCTGTCTCCCACTGCCTTTGGTGGGAAATGAGTATTTTCATTGATATTTGGCTTTAAAAGCCCTGTAGAAATGCAAATGTTCCTCAGCCTTAAGGAGGCTTCTCCTCCTTGTCATTTCCAGTTCATCATTGCTTCTGTGAAGTTCCTACAGACCCTACGCTAACCAATTGCGTTCCTGTTTCTGGCCTTAATCTAATAATACTCAGCTGCAACACTGGCATGTTTCGCTCCCAGCTGGAAGTGAGCATCCTTCCCATCCCTAACAGCTGGGGAAACCAGAGTGTGAAGGGGGAGCTGGGTTCCCTGCCCTCGTGCTGGAGGAGAGTGGGGGAGCTGTGGTCCCAGCTCCCATGGCAGTGCTGCTTCCTCTGAGTCGTCCTGGCATGGGACAGGCCCTAATCTTTGTGAACATCACTTGTGTCCCTGAGAAAGGCATCTCTGCGTCTCCTCTCCTATTGATTTCTCTCTTTTAAATTCCCTTCGCCCAGGGATGTGTTCAGAGTCTCCAAGAACATGCAGAAAGAGAAGCAAAGCCTCCTTCGGCAGCTGGAGCTCCTCAGGTAAGAACAGGACTGCATGCAGATCTCGAGCTCTCGTGCACGTCAGGGACTCAGACCAGACCCTGCTTCCTTCCTCGGGGGAGCCCAAATGGCTGGCATGGCCGATGGCCACTTTGGGGGTAGGAGCGGGGAGCTGGCCTTGTCATGTTGGCTGCCTGCTTCACTGGCAGTGCTGAGGTCTGGTTTCTCCCAGAGAAAGCTATGGGAGTGTACTCGACAAGTGCTCACACTGCTTGTTTTTGTAGGCCCTGACAGAGCAGTTGCAATCCGCTCAGCTCCAGCAGGGCACAGGCTGTGTTATTTTACTGAGTAATCCCCCCAGCTGAGGAGTTTAGTTTTCCCTGCTGACTAAAGTGTAGCATGCAGAGCCTGTTACCTGAGCTGGGATGCTTGGAAATCCCAACGTGCTCAGCAATAAAGAGCACCTGTATTTGTGCCCCAAGTTCCCTTCCCATTTAGCTTTCAGATGTCAGCCTTCACCACATTTTCAGGGAGTGCTTCATTGTCTCTCTCCTGTGTCTTCCTTTGGAGCAGAGAGATGAACAAGAAACTTCGAGATGAGCGAGACACTTTCGAAGCCAAGAAGCCGGTTAGTCTCAGAAAGAAAATACTAATTCCCAACCACCCTCCTTTCATCTGCTGCTGTTGCTGTCACCACCTGGGGGCCTATCCCTTCCACGGGGGACAATGACCTGACCTCACGAGTCTTGCTGTGGTGCTTATACAGACTTCGTGGCACCTCTGGAGACAAGCTCTGCTGGCTGCTCTTTCCAGCTGCCCGGGTGTAACCCAAGGCATGTTAGCTCGTGACTGTAACGCAGCTGCGGGCAGGGCTGAACGTGTGCTGCCTGCTGCACGTGCTGCGCCTGTGCTTCTGGGCAGGATTCGGGCACGTGCAAGGAGGGGAGCGAAGCTGCATGCATTCCTGGAGCTGGGTGGTGGTGAGGAAGAAGATGGATTCCCAGGTGTGCTGCCTGCTGACCCGGGGTGGAGGGGCAAGGGGTTGGTTCAGAATTTCTCTGGCCCCTTGAGTTCATAGTAGGTGTGTTCAGATGTTCCTCTGCGGCAGCTCCTGTGGTGGAGGTGCAGCAACGAGCCTTGTATCAGAGGGCTAAGAGAAAGCAGGGGGCCTCTGAGCCTTGGGGAACGTCTGGGACTGGCAGTGCCATCTCTGGCCTTTCCTGGACTCCAAGACGAGTACAAATACGAGTTCTGTTTTTAATTATTAGTTTTTCATGAAAAAGTCTTGTTGTTCACAAATGTCATTGCTGAGGCTGCTCTGTGCCCATCTTGGACCCACCCCTGCTGCCGTGCACCTTTCCTGGCTGTGCCACCACGCTGCACTTGAAGACCTGGAAGTAGCTGGCTTGCAGTGATGAGAGGCAGCAGCAGGCTGAGAGAGACTTTTCTGGCTGGTGTGCGAGGGAACGAGACAGGAAGCACAGGGAGAGTGCCTGGATAGGAGACAGGACGCTGCGGAGGGGAAGCTGCTGGGGGAGAGGCTGGAGTTCATCTCTAAGTAGAAAAGCGCCTGTAGAAAATAACTCCAGTAACTGTTCTGGATGGAGGTGAGGTGTGCGTGCGTGTGCCTGTGTGTGTTTCTGCAATCCGACGGAAGATGTTTTTATTTTTTTCTTAAATTTTAAAGCTGCTCAGTAAGCGTATGTGAGTGCATGTGTGTGTGTGTGCCAGGGCTTCCTCTTCCCATGTGGAAGCTTCAGCAGCTGCTGGGTTCCTGTGGGTGGGTGGGTGCCCCATGGAGACTACGGTTCAGGTACGTGCCTGTGTGTGCCAAGTTTGTCTGCTTCCCCTTCCTTCCCTTCTGCTTTCCTGCTGTGCCCCGCCTGGGGCTGCTCTGAAACACGACAGCTGCAGGTGGACCCAAGAGAGGGCCTTGCAGAGAGTCGTGGTGTAGAGGAGCCACCTTCTCCTTCCTCTGCTGGCACTAGGGGTGCAGCAGCAGGGTGAACTCCTGCTCCCACCTTTGCTCATCTTGCATGGCTGTGTCATGCTTGGCAGATGAAGCCTGTACTGGAATGAGGTTTTTTCCTTTGTCAGCCAGGACATCTCGTTGGCCATTCTCATTTCAGTCTGCAGCAAAACAGGGCTCCAGGGGATTGCAGAGACGCTGCTGTCGTCACACACCTGCAGAAGATCTGCTGTCCAGCCTGTCCCGCTGTCAGAGGGAGAGGAAATAGCAATCCTTGCAGCAGCAAAAAGGAGAGTCCAGCCTTCTGCTGTGGATCCCTAGTGCGTGACACGCTCTGGCAGAGACTGTCAGTGCTTTCACAAGCTAAAAAGAAACATAAAGCCTTAATGTCCTCTCTTAGTGCTGGGAAGGGCTATGTTATTTCTCTGAGATGAAGGGATGACAAACAGTGGTTCTTTATAGCAGTGACTTTGAAGTGGTTGGAAGGAGGCGTTGGGCTGCACGTGGCTGGCAGCGACCCAGCTGCTGCTCCTTTGCACTGCTCAGTGCCCAGCCTAATACCTTGCTCTTCATAAGAGTTTCTGGCCTTGCCGGGGTGGGCAGACCCGGCCCCACAGCACGGGGAGGCGCAGTTTGGCCCCGATGGCTGGGTCACAGATAGCAACGTGTGGCTGTTCTGCCTGTGTGCAAACCGCTGCTGGGTTCTGTTTTGCACCCACCCATCTGTGGAGTCACCCTTGTGTGCTGCATGTTGACAAAGGTCTTGCCCTGAATGAGCAAATTTCACGTCTGCTCATCGCGAGGAGTGCTTTGGAACTTTGGCTGCACTGGACGTACATTTGTATTTCACCAATAAACCAGAAGATGCTTTTGTTCCATATATTTGTTTTCTTTCCCATCCCAAATGCTTGCATGTGTGCTGTTCCGTTGTGGAAGCCTCGCTCTGTGTGCTGTACAGCTGTGATGTCGTGTTTGTCCCTTTACCATCTCTGTGAAAAGCCACATGTTCCATAAAGGCGGCAGGCCAATAAAGCATGGCAGAACCATTGGCAAAACACCCCCGTTGTTTCTCCTTTCTTCCCCAGGTAGGTACTCTGCAGGTTTTGCCTCTTCAGGTTTTGCCTTTCAAAATGAGCCTGGGCTTACTGAAGAAATAATCTCCATGGTCCTCCCCTGGGCTGCGGGCAGCACAAAGGCAGGCCTGGAAGGAGCTGCCTGTAGCGTTTGGTCGCCTCAAAACTGCTGCAGATCCAGCAGGCTGTAGGCTCCTCTTTTTTTCCCCACCTTTACCCCAAAATAATTTGTGAGGATGTGTCAGAAATCTTCAGGCTTCCAGAGGGAGCACGTCTCCCTGCTCCCAGTGCCGGGGTGGTGGTGCCCTGCTGCACTGTCTCCCGCTTGGTGGTTTTGGGGTCTACAGAGCAATTAGGATGGAGCATGAGAAGGGAGACAAGGCTTTGGTGTGGCTCTGGGGAGAGCCGGCGGGTCAGCCCTCACTCCGCCACAGGCTCCCCTGTGTGATCTCAGCAAACCACTTCTTGACCCTGGGAACAGGAAAGCTGCTGCAGCTGGGGGATGAGGGCTGTGAGAGCTGCTCTGCTCTCCCCTCCTCGGGAAGGCGCTGAGCGTGGCTGTAGGGAGTGCGAGGAGGTAAGTAGGAGTGAAGCGTGGCGACGAGTGTGTGAGGCAGAGCACGTGCACTGCCCTTGGCTCCTTTCTTTCCTCTGGTACTTGTGCGGCTGCAGGTGAGTACCTGTGGAGTACACGGCTGGTCTGTCCCACCAAACACCAGCATTATAAAAAGGCAGGTGGGAAAAGAGAGAATCAGCCGTGATGCACAGGGGTGAGCAAGCCACAGGAAGGAGAGCTGTGGGTGACAGAGGAAAACTACAGCTTGAGACACCGTCATTTTTCGGTGGCATCATTGCAGAGGGGAAAGTGGTGCTTTCTGGCAGGAGTTCAGTGAGCTGAGCTGCGAGGAGCGACCCCTGTGCTGGTGTCTGTTGGAGCCTGTGGGGCACCGCTGCTGCTCCAGCCCTGCGCCTGAGGCAGCTGGTTCAGCTGGTGATGTTCCTCACCCTTCTCTCTTCAACTTCCAGGCGCCCCAGAGCACAAAGCCCCTCCAGAAGAACGGGTCAGTGCTAGGCAGCTCCCTGCAGGACGACAAGCCGGTCAAACGGTTAGATGGGCCTCTCCGTGTCGTGTCCCTGCTGTCGCCCCATGCTGCTGGAGCACCCCGTTGGTCTGTCCGTGTGTCCTGCCTGGTCCCACATCGGCTCTGTCTGTCTGTCTGTCTGCGGGAGCATGGGGGAGATGTGGCCTGAGGGTGTCCTCGGGGAACACAAAAACACAAAGACGTGGTGGTGGCCTGGCTTTTGGAGCTGGATCTCCCCGGCATCTGCAGCCCCAAACAGGCTCTGAAGGTGGCACGCTTCCCTCCTTCACACCAGCTCTCTGCAGAAGGCTCCCGTCCCTTCCCAGTTGCTCCTGGTGCCAGCCGGAGACACGGGGCAAGGCTCAGAGTTTCTCCCAGCTTTAACTCACCCTCAGTGCTTGCAGTTCTGTAAGACCTGAGCTCCAGGCTCATGGGTTGGTTGCAAACCAGCTGAACTGCGGAGCGGGGCCGATTGTTTAGCCCCAGCTGGGAGCTGCTGGGCTAGGCCTGAGGCAGAGCTCCTTCATAGCTGGGCGAGCAGCAGGCATGGACCAAACACCCTTTTTTTTTTTCCCCTTTTTTTTCTTCTTCTTTCCTTTTCTTCCCTGAAGAGGCTTTTGAGTCTCAGCCTCTCATTGCTGCCTCTCCAGCTGGCCCTGGAAGATGGGGACCGTTCCCCAGAGCCCAGGAGGATGTGTCTGTTCTCCGTGGGGAGAGGCTCCAGCTGCCCAGCTCCAGATTTGGGGAGATGCAGGGAGGATGACCAGGGACGTGAGCTCCATTAAACACCAAAAGCCCAGGCTTGGCAGCAGGTGAATATTGCAGCCCTGGTGAGGCGTGGGCACAGGCACGAGAAGGGAGTGGTGGCCTTGATTTCTGCACCAGCAGGAAGGGGGAAATGTCACAGAGAGAGGTGGGATGTGCTGCCTCTCAACAGACTGGCTGCAGTAAGCCTTGGGGCTCTCTCTTCTTTGCTTCCAAGTGCAATCTGGTGTCTAGCAAAGATAACGGAGATCCCTGGTGGATAAAGCCTTTGAGTTCTGAGTCTTCTCGCTCCCTTCTTCTAGTTCTTTAACCACAGAAAGCCAAGGCTGAGTTAGGATGCTTCCTTGCTCCTTGGCAGTGCTTGCAGTGGCTTAAGCCTGCTATTCCGAGCTGTAATTTGAAGACTGTCCCTCCCCTTACCATGTCTCTGCCCCCACTGCGTGACACGTGCATCAGCCTGCCCTTGTGCACAGCACCACGTCTTGGGCAGAGGAGCCCTGGGGGTCTGTTATGAGCATGGCTGGCAGAAAGCTTAAAAAAAAAAAGAAGAAAAAAAAAAAAAAAAGAAAAGTTTTTTGGGGTTATGGCTCCCTGATGGCACTCAATGCCAGGTGGAGCGACGTGGGAACAGTTTGAGTGTGCTCTGCTGCTGCCTGGCCTCAGCACGGCTCTGCTTCAGCAGCGTGTGCAAGTCCTGGAGCTCTGCTTTGTGCAGCACGGCTGTGGGCCTGCAGCAGAGGGCAGCAACACGCGTGTACAAAGAGCTGCTGGCTTGTTTTCCTGTTTGTTCGTTCTTTAAACCTTTCTTCTACTTTGCCTCATTTTTCAGTACTGGGGAAGTAAGAGGCAAAGGATCTGTGAAAAATCCAGAAGGCAGGGATTTTTATTAAAACTAATGAAATATATGTCAGCAGATAAGAGCACAGCATGGCTCAAGTGAGCTGTGTCTCTTCCCCCACGGGTGCTGCTGGTGCCTGAGTCCCAGGGAACATGGGGTGTGTGTGTATGTGTGAAGCAGAGCTCCTGCAAGCAGTGTGTGCGCTAATTGGATCACGCTGGTTGTTTGGGGAATTGGCAGCCCCCTCCTCCTGCTCTTCCCTCCCCTCCAAACCCCATTTCTGGTGCTTTTGGGCTTTAATGCAGACAGCTGGCCTCTGCGGACCTTCCCATCGCCTTCCCCGTGGATGTGGCAATGGAGGAACCCAACAGGAAGAGCTGTAAATACTTCCCAGGCAGCGAGGCGTGGCTGAAGGCAGGAGAAGGAGGCAGCACAAACTTTGGGGAGAGCGGCAGAGCCAAGGAGGGCTGGCCGGTGGCAGCAGGTGCTGAGAGGCTGAAGGTGGCTTTGAAGGGCGATGCTGGCTGTAGAAAAAATGCTGATGGATTGGATGATGCTCCACTGCCTCCTAGAGGACAGCCTGTGGGCACCGAAACCAGGGTGAGTCTGACTGCTTGGGGTTCAGCCTCCATAAATTTGTAGCACAATTAATGTTTTTTTGTGATTCAGTGCCTAAACCAAAGCACAGTCCGTAGCTGGGCTTTTCAAAAGCGCATCCCTTTCTCCTGTTGCAGCTCCAGGTGCTGGAACCAGCCAGTTGCTCCCCGGATCGTATCTTCAAAGTGGTGTTTGTAGGGAACTCCGGCGTTGGTAAGAGCTCCTTCATCCACCGCTTCTGCTACGACAGGTTCTGGGCTGAGCTCAACGCAACCATCGGTACGTGACAGGCTTCCTGCCTCATCCGAGTAACGGGGAAGTTGGCCTGGAGATGGCCTTCTTTTCCATCATTTTAGCCCAGACAACTTCTACCCTTAAAAGTAAAGGCGGTTCCTCTCCCCGTTTTGGGTCAAACTGGCAGTTTCCCTGAACTAGTATTGATCTTGCTCATTGGCCTTGCAACGGCAAGCAGCTCTCTCCCCATCCTGCCTTATGATTGTTGTTGCCTCCCTGACAGGTATTGATTACCAGGTGAAGAGCCTGATGGTGGATAACACCCAAGTTGCCTTGCAGCTGTGGGATACAGCTGGACAAGAAAGGTGAGCAAATTCTGTGAGGGTTCCCCACCGCCAGGCTCAGCGTGGAAAAGAGGAGGAGAGGGAAAGGAATGTGTGCACTGGATTCAGTCCCTAGGAAAATGATTTCAGAAGCACAGGCCATCACTAGAAGGTGTCACCTGTTGGAGAGGGTCAGAGTAGCAGGGGACACACTTCACTCACCCGCTGCTAGACATGCAGGCCCACCACTACCTCTGTGTAAATTATACTTTATTTAGGATGTACTTTGAAGCTTAAGATCAAAAGCTTTTGCAAGAGAACTGCCAACCTCAGAGCCTGGCAAGAAGAAGTGTTGGGTGTTTTATGCTCAGTACGGACCAGGCCTTTGGAAGGCAGCTGGAGGCACGGCAGTCCGGCAGTCTGGAGCTGTGGCAGCAGAATGGCCGTGCTGCCTGCCTCAGCCAGCTAGACCTGTAGGATGCTCTGTTGAGAAGTGGACTCTTCCTTCCAAACTCAAGGTTCACGCTGAAGAGATCGAGATTTCTATTTGAGGGTACTACTGTGGGTTGTTTTTTTCGGTGCTGAAGCTGGGCAGGAAGTTGTTATGACACGAAACGTGGCTGCTTACTGAGGCCAGGTTGCGTCAGAGGCCAAACTCAATATCTTGGCTCTGCAGAAGATCCATTAGAGTATGCCCCTGAAGCGTTAGCACGTCTTAGATGTGTGCTTGCAGGAAAGAACTTGGCTCAGTGCTGATACTGAAGAGGAGGTTTGGAAAGAAGCCAAAGCTTTCCTTACCACTAGAGAAATATGAATTATTCTAACTGGAGGGGCCCAACTGCATATCCTACAGAGGAGACAGAACTTCTTGTAGCAGGCAGGGGAGAGCTCCTTGGTGACTCCCCCGAGACCAGTTCATGCTGCATTTTATGTTTTCTCTGGAGCATTCAGCCTGTCCCCTAGCTGCAGAGGTGCACCTGGGCTGCCAAAGACACAGCCTGTGCTTTCTCAGCTGGGGCAGCTGCCAGAATGCCATGCCCTTAGCACAGGGAGACACAACAGGCTTCAGGCAGTCAGCTGAAGGGTTCAGGAGGGTCACTGCTTGCTGTGGGTTTTCTTGGCTCTTAATGGAATAGGGGAGCTTGTTATCCTGGGCAGGGCAGAAACACACAGCTGCCTGCTGAGATCTCATCCTCGTGCTCCGTTTAATTCCATCAGTTTGCATGCAATGTGACGTTGTATTGTGGCCTATCACAAGCTGCTTTCAGGTTTTAAGCTTATTATTATTATTATTATTATTATTATTATTTATTATTTATTGGAGTTTATTCCCAAAATACAAATCTGTTGTTCTAGCAGGACAAAGGAGATGTCTGGTGGGAGTTTCTCCTGGAAATTGTGTCTAACTGCTGAGTTTATGTATGGCAGCATCGCTTTGTAGATTTAAAACTGGAAACAGACTGTGCTGATGCTGAGATCTTAATTGCTGTTTTGGCAACACTGGGGCAGACATTACGCACGCATAGTTTATTCTGTGGTACAGCTTAGTCTGCAGATTCTTCCAGACTTTAGAAAAAGATCATGTTTTTTCCATCCACTTCCCTTTTAACAGGTTACTACCTCTTCTTATCCCACCTAAACAGATTTTTCTGTGTTTCTTTTCCTAATCTGGAAAGGCCTGCCTTTCTGCTTTCTCAGCACAGCGTGCTGGGAAAAACTCCTGCTCACTCGTGGCTGCCTGGGGTCCCAAAGGCCCACGGACTTGACCTATTTGTCACCAGTCTGTGTGTGCCAGCCCCAGGGGACGCATCGCACGTGCAGGGAGCCTGCGCTGAAAGCCAGATAATCTCCTCCTGTTTCTGAGGTGTGTTTCCCGTGGTTCTGTCGGGCTCAGGTTCCGCAGCATCACCAAGCAGTATTTCCGGAAGGCGGATGGCATTCTGGTGATGTACGACGTTACGGCCGAATGCTCCTTCACAGCGGTGCGCAACTGGATGAGCAGCGTCCAGGTGAGAGCGGTGCCTTGGCTGGCACTGCTGGCCCTGCTGCCTCTGCCTGCCCCCGGTCTCGCTCCGGTGAGGGACAGAGCGGTGTTCGGGGGGCCTTGGGGGGTCCTGGTGGCCTTGGGAAGAGGAATCGTGGAAGCAGATGTTGCGGGTGCTGACTGTGATGGTATGGGACCAGGTACCACAAAGCCAGTGGCAGCATCTGTTTCAATGCTCTGGTAATCCCACCCATTTTTACCTGCAAACTCTCATCGGAAAGCATTCATCTGTGGCTCGTCTCTGCAAGCAGAGACAAAAATACCTCTGTATAATTTAAATATGTTGTGAAATAGTCAAGAGTTGGTTTTGTTTGCATCATGTTAAGTCTCAAAAACCGAGTCCTAAATGGAATAAATAAGCGTAGGTTGGAGGCTTCTAGTACTGTAACTTTCACAGGCCTGTTGGGGGAGAACAAAAAATATATATCTATTTCTTTGGGCTTTAAAAGATCAAGGGTTAAGATTTTTCAAAACTAGGCTCTGAAAATCAGGCTCCTTTCAGGAAGGTTAAAATGAACACTTAGAAAATCAAAGCACCCCAACTCTGTAACCTTTAATAACCTCTCCTCCTTTCTTTCTCCCATCTTAGTATTTTTCTTGCTTTGAAACCTAAAGTCTTCAGGTGCTGTAAGTCATCCAGGGCAGTCAGATTTGGAAATAACTTCCAGCCCCATCCTGCAGGCTTACTCTGGTGATGGAGCTGTAGGGAGTTTTACCAAAGGTAGCGGGCTCCAGGAATCGCCTAGAAATAAGTTACTGCAGGGACTGTAAGAGCTGGAAGCTGCTCGGCCCCTCACAACTTGACCAGAGGGTTTTCAGCAAGGGATGGCTGAGCTTAGAACAGCACGGTAGATGAATAGCACTACACAGACAGAAACAAAATTTAGGACAGAAGTCCCGCCTGGTCTTAAATGCAGTTTGCCCTATAGGCTGCTGGACTTTTCTCTGGGCTTCTTATTTTCCAGAGAATTTATTCCCTGCCTCCCCTCTCTCAGCATCCCGGCGGCACACACCAAACATTTGAAATATATTCCCATGGTTTAAGCTTCCTTCCACAAGTCCCTGGGGCTGTTTGAGGAACGTCCCCTTAATGTGCTTGCAGGGAATATTTTGGCAGCTCCTTCAGGGCCCCTAATCCTGCTGCCACTGAAGGCAGTGGCAGAGCTCTTGTTTGCATGAGCTGGAGCAGGATCTGCTTCGAGATATTTCTGTCCCTCGGCCGAGTCCCCAGGGTGCTTTGCTCTGTTTCTTTTGCAGGAAGGTATCGAGGACGGAGCTGTGGTCTTTCTGCTCGGAAATAAAACGGATGCTGCACAGAGGGAGACCCGGCACGTCCCCAGGGTGGAGGGGGAACGGCTGGCGAAGGTGTGCCTCTGTGCCCCCCTGTTCCTCCTGCCCAGCAACCTCCCTGCAGCTGGGAGCAGAGCAACCGGGAGCCTTTGCCCAGTGCTGTGCCTTCCCTCCCTGCCCCTACACAAACACACACTGAGGCACTCTTGAGGCTCGGTGCCTCCTTGCAGGGATGTTTAGTGTTGTTGTTTTTTTCCTGAGGGGAGGGCAGGTGGCTGCTTTCCCACCCGCGGACCCCTGCGGTGCACCCTGGTGCTGAGGGTGGGCCAGCTCCCGGGGCTGCGGGTGCGCGGTGGGGTGAGCTGGGCTGAGCTGGGTGCGTGCTGTGCTGTGCTCCCTGGCAGGAATACAAGGCTGTCTTCTACGAGTGCAGCGCGATGACCGGCTATAACATCATGGAGCCCATGCTGCACATGGCCAGGTCAGTAACGGGAGCAGCCCCCCTGGTATTTTCCCGGCTGTAGGTCCCTGGTGCGGGCTCTCCTAGGGAGTGGGCAAGACGAGGCGCTGTCAGACTGACTTTGCCATGGCACTAAAAGCACCTGGAGCAAAAAGTTCTCCCCCACTGACTCCAGGGCCCTAATCTGTGGCTGGAGAGCACCAGGCATAGACTGGACATTGTCACATGCAAACCTTCCTCTGGTGAAAAATGAGGAGCCAAATTTGAGCACTGCATCACAAAAACTGGGTGTGCTATCCCAGATTTTAACTTGGCATTTTCACTTTGCAATCCACACGTGCTTCTGGGGAGGGTGGAGGGGTTCTTCTTTACTAAGCGTTACAGAGACTGTGATATTTTGGGAGTAACATTTTTCTTGCTAAGGATAAGATAAGGTTAAGGGGGATACTTGTAAGGCTGAAGGAGGTTTGCACTAAGATTTTTAGTTTTTAAAGAAGCAAGTGTTTTTGAAAAATTCTTTGAAATCTTGCGAGAAAAATATCCTTTTGTTTTCTTTTATCCCTCCCCCTCCTGCTGTAACGCCTCTGTTAAGTTCACAACAGGACATGGCTGTTTATTAACTGGGACGATTTACTTAGACAGATGAATGATGTGCTGCATAGCGCACGCCTTTGTGCTCATTTTGCGTGTGTAGTTTATGTAGCCCAGCTCCCAGGGAAGCCCAGTCTTTGGTCCACTCCCTTCTTACAATCCTAACTGGCCCTGGATGATGGCCAAGGAGCGCAGTCAGGTGCCACAGCAGGAGTAGCTGAGCAGTCTGATGTGCTCTCGATCCGTGCTGCTTGTTGCAGGTTGCTGACAGCACAGGAAGACAGGCAGAGGGAGAATGCCCTGCAGCTGGAAGATGTCAGCAGGAGGAGGGGGTGCTGCACGTAAGGCACATCGACATGTCAGCAAGAGACGCGTGTCAGCGCCAGTTTGTGAAGCTGGGATTCCTTCAGAGCAAGCTGAATCCGATGGGACTGGGTCTGCAGAGACTTAGGGGAGCCGCAGCTTTTCCCCATCTGGGAATTTCAAGGCACTAAACCAGGCCAAAATGTGCGTGTGATCTGTACTGCTCCATCTCCCACCTCTCACACAGCCCTGGTCTCTGCTTGGAACTGGGCTAGTTTTGGCACAAGATGCACCTTCTGTCCACAGTGGTCACTTCCGTGTAAAATGCCATTTCCTTCTGTTTCTGGCACCGTGGCCTAGCAACAGCATGGAGGGTGCAGTGGGAGCTGTGTTAAATGGATTATTTTAGTGTAAGAAATAAAGAGAGAATTTTAAATTTGGGCTAACTCTAGGTAGTAATCCTTCTGTCTCAGAGCATCCTCCTCCCCTCGGTTCTGTCGGAGCAGAGCCCAGCTGACAGCTTGCTGAGCTCACTGGGAAAGCCTCCGTCCGTCCCTGCAGGATCTGAATCGGGCCCCGCACTTGCTGGGAAATTTGCTTGAATTTGCCCCCACTGTAGTTAACTGATTCCATGTGCGGACACATTATGAGCTGGTAAAATCATTCATCCCCATGCCTTTCTTGCCTTGTTACCCTCCTTCTCGTACTGCTTACAGGACAGAGAGCATTGCCCTGAGACTCGCGTGTGACCGTGGTGCTGGCACCTACTGCAGGCGCAGTGCTGTACCTAGCGGGGCCATATACAGCCTGTTTTATGGCTGCGTGCCGCCTGCTTCCTCCTATTCTCTTATCCTTTCCTGAAAGGTCTCCAGCGGGTAGGAGCTGACATATCCGCAGTACATACGTGGCCTGGAGCCGCCTCAGCTGTGAAACGTACCTAGTGGAGCTTTCCCTCCCTTTCCTTATAAAAGGCCCAAGCAAGAGCAGGGCTGAGGTAGGATCTGGCCCTACACGTGCCCCTCTTGGCTGCTCTGGCTCTGCAGGACACTGCACAGCCACTGCTGTGCCTGGGCACGGAGCCCCTGTGTCCTTTGGGGTGTGATGCTTTCTCTGTTTCACAGCTCCGTTGCTCTTAATGCCTTGTGGGTTTCTCCTTGAACCCGTTTCTGCATGTGACTGAAATCTTGGGCACACACCATGATAATGCAGCTTTCCTCTCTGGGGATAAGGCATTTACTCTGACCCTGAATGTCCGTTTATGGCACAAGTTTTTCTGGGAACGTCCCAGGCAGCAATGTGCTCTGAGTCACCTACAGCCCATGAGCATTACAAAGAATTTCCAGGGTTCCTCCCTTTGCCATTTAATCCTGAAAGCAAAGAGGAAGATTCTCTCTGGAAGAGCCAGATTCCTGATTAAAAGGAGTAGGAGTAGGTAAAATGTATTACGTTTCTGCTCAGTCCTTGCTGCTGGCTGGCTGGGGCTCATGCTGTTGCAGAGCTGGTGGGTTTAACTGCACACATGCCTTGCAGGGACCAGGAAGCGGCACCGAGAGCTGGTGGTTTTGGTCCAGGCACAGCAATAACGCTAACATTTACTTACTGCAGCAGCATCCCGGCGGGATTTGGGAAGCTGCTGCAGAAGGAAGAGAGCAGCATCCAGGCTGCTAACGTGGTCTGAACGTGCACCTCCCACGCTGCGTGCAAAGCACATGAAAGATAAAGGAGTGAAATGTAGCTGGCACACGAGGATGGGACACGGTGTGTATTACCATCATCGGTGTTGTCATACTACAGTAAAAACAAAGAACTACCCCCTTTTCTTTTTTTTTTTTTTTTTGGAGTACAACCTTAAGTATGTTTTCTTAGTGTGCAAGCAGAGTGCAGACAATAAAGACATGCTGTCTTGCAAATGGTTGTGTTGAAAGAGGTTTTTTCAGGAGCTGCAGGAGATTCAGTTGCCTTTTCTAGTTGCCCACTGTAGCATACAGCGCTCAGGAAGTGCTGAGTGCTCTGTACCCAGTGGTGGCACACACAGGAGGTTTGTAAGTTATGAAAGCAGGGAGAAAGTTGCTCAGAACCCCTTGTTTCAGGGGCAACACAGGAACAATTTGTCTCCTGTCTTTTTTTTTTTTTTTCTCTTTAAAGCAGCCAGAGCCTGGCTGATAGGGAAGGCAGAGCAGGGAAGAGGGAACTGGGAGAACCAGGGCCATTGCAGAGCCTTCCGAGAGGGCACGTTGTCTCCTTGCATCTACACGTGTAGAACTAGACGTATTTAATAATATCCCATACATCCTGCTCACCAGAGTTAGGAATTTCATAGTTCTTAATCCCTGTGCCCTATGTTTGTTTCGATACACTTGTGTATTTACAGAACTATCTACCTGTAGCTCTGGCCAAAGCAATTAATACTCCTTTCTCCTGCTACAGCCAGCACAGGGAGCAGTTAACTATACCTTTTTTAGCAGGGACAAGCTGGAGTTTTGTTTCACCCATGACAAAGTGGCACAGAGGTTGAGCAGGTTGCACTTGGACGACAGTAAGCACCAGGGTGGGGTTTATTCTGAATGCCAGACCCATGCTATTTTCTATCATCAGCAGATGTTCAGCCACTTCCAGGAATGCAGGGCTCATCACATTTAATAGTTTCTTGGGAAGATGAACAGCGTCACTCCTAACGTGTCCCCTTCCTCCTTCCTTACTCAGGCTTTTATTGGTGAGCATGGTGCCCTATGGAACAGGGCCTTGGTCGCCCCGGGGCAGCTGTGCTGGCTGTGTCCCCTCCCAGCCCCTGCTGCACGTCCTCGCTGCCAGGGCAGCATGAGAAGCAGGAAAGTCCTTGGCTCTGTGTAAGCACTACCCTGCAACAATGAAAACACCAGCGTGTTATCAGCATTATTCTCATCCTAAATCCAAAGCACAGCACCATACCAGCTACTATGAAGACAATTAACTCCATCCCAGCCAAAATCAGGCTTTCATCAGAATCTCTCCTGCCTCTGAACGGGAGCCCTGGGAGCAGCCACACTCTGCAGGTGACTGATGGAAACTCCAACATAAATAAAAAGCAAGTAATAGTGATACCCTAAGGTGGTATGAGACAAGGGAGGATGAAAAATAGACCCTGCTTGAGGGCTTATTCCTGCACTGCGTTGGCTGCGGTCTCTTAGTGGACAGGTGACTTTTTGCACATAATCTGTAAAGCATTTTGGAATCCTATCACAAGAAAATACACTTACAGCCTGAGAAGCCTATCCTGGCACATGCAACGGTGCAGCTGTGTACACAATCAGAGCTAGGAGCAAAGGAGAAAAAAACAGCTGCTCTGACAAGCAGCCACAGTCCCACAAAGCCCTGCATGCAGGCAAAGGGACCCTGCTCTGCCTTGTGTTTCACTTGTCTTTTTTTGTGTTAATATGTTAAGGATAAGCACAACAGGATTAGCCTGACAGCTTCTATTTCAAAAGGCAAAACAGGGCTGAAGAGAGCGCAGTAAGCCATGGGACTAGGCTTAAAGCTTTCCCATGGGACAAATGTAGGAATCCCAAACGCTTGGGATGTTTGCTTTCTGCTGCCTGTGACTGTGATGGGTAAAATACTGGGGGGAAATGTACTCAGCCTGGGGAATGATAAATGGCATTGCTAGAAAATAAACAAAACAAAACAAAAAAAACAACACAAGGGTACTTGAGGATCCTGACTCTCTGCTGTCACCTCCACTTGAACAAACTGGAGACATGCAGCATCTTCCACCCACCTCACGTGCCTTCTGCTTGGGACTGGAGCCCTTGGGGGGCTGACCAGGGTGCCTGGAAAGAAACCGGGCAATGCAGGGCTCCCCTTGCAAAGGCTTGCACCATCCATCAGTGATTAAGCACATGCAGCTGGCTTTTTCACTCTGGCTTCATGGAGTGCCTCTGCTCCTTTCTGGCAGCTTGTTCCTGGGGTGCTGCTGGCACCCCGAGGCATGCCAGGTGCAACTGCTCACAGGTGCTCACCAGCCACTGTAGAACCACTTTATTCCTGCAGCTTGAACTCCAAAAGACAGTTTCCACCTAAACACATTTAATCTGTTCCTATGGGGACCATGGAATCCCTTCCTGGATTATTTTCTGACCCTTACCATCTACTGTTCACATACTTTCACACTCTTTACTTGTTAATTGCTTAGTGCGTGCATACATATATGCATATATACAGAACAAATACTTAAGCTTTGGTTTAAATGTGTCTTGTAGCTTGTGCTATCTGCACTTAAATACTTTATTTGTAAATCTGCTCAGCTCCAGTAAGATCCACAGTGCTGCAGCTCAGGGCTTGGTTAGCTCGCTCAGCCTGCTCATTACTTATCTGTTTCTGAGTCACGGTGAATTTTCAGTTGGTGCAGTTGGAGTAATCCGGCTCCAGACTCCCCAGGCCCGCAGGCGTGCTTTGTGTGCGTATCAAGCCAAGCAGTTTATTTAATAAGGCCCTGATCCTGCAAGCACAAGAGTTGCCTGCTTCTTCTGAAGTGACTAGGCTATGGTAGAACTATGAAAATTACAGTAAATTGAGTTTTTTTTTTTACAAGGTTAATGTATAATTAAATGTTCACAGGGATTACATTTGTGCAGTTCTGGGTAGAGGTAGCGATGGTGGGTCCTACAGGTGAGACAGCAGCAACCACAGCCAGCACTGAAATGGCAAAGTGCTGCAGAAAAGCCCTGCAGTGCCGTTCCCTGAGTGATGTGACCTTGCTGCTGGGCTCCTGCGTATTCCTGTAATGAACTGAGGAACCGGGGAAAAAGGGGTTTCTGTGGTATAGCCCGCCTTTACGTGCAGGCTTCCCCGAGCACGCCACTGCCACACAGACAGCAGTTGTATCTAATCCTGCCCTTTTGCTGACCCAAATCTGCCAGGGTGGGAGGCTGATCTCTTTCTTGTTTGCACATGAAATCTCCAGACACACGGGGAGAAGGCAGCAGCCAGGAGCAGGAGCGCTCAGCACCCCACTGAGGAGGGCTAGGGGCTGCGGTTGGTGCCTGTGCTTGTGCTGCTGCCTCCTGGCTCTGCCACACACCCTCTGCAAGAAATCTCGGTGTCGGAGCGTGAGCTGATCCCCTGGGGCTCTGTTTAATCACTTGGCTCTCCAGGAGCCCTAAACTAAAGCTTCAGATCCCGTGGGCAGAAGGGAGATGGGAGCTGTTTGTTTTTTTTCCCTGGCGGTCTTTTTATAACGCTGCCTGTACTTCACACGTAACTTCATGCCATTTTGTTTTCACTTTCGGAGGCACGGAAAAACCCGTACCTGTATATTTTACTCATCCTGCCCAGCTCTGTGTGAGGCAGGCTGTTCTCTGCTGGTTTTGGTATGATGGGATCCCTATTCTTTAAACCTATCCCTTCCCTCTGATCACTGTGAATGGGATGATGCTAAGTAATGCTGAACAAAACCATAGTGGAGAAAGTCTCTCATAGCGGTCTGTACAGGGCTTCTTCAGCTGGCTGTCTTGCCTTAGAAGTGTGGTATCAGTTTA